TGTGGTTCCTGCCAGAATCAGTAGCCAGAGTGTCCGCCATTGTTGGAGATCACCGCTGTCACACGCCTCGGCATTGATTCAAAGAGACTTTGGATGTGTTCTTGGGGTACAGCAGACCAAGCAGCTTCGAAACGTTGCCAAAGTTGATCTGGTGTGGTAGCTGGGGGTGTAATCTGGGTCAATCGTTGAGCAACCATGGACCGCATGTTTTCTATCGGCGAAAGATCCGGAGAGCAAGCCGGCCAGGGAAGCAATTCAATCTGGTGATTGACGAAGAACCTTTGGACAATGTGTGCCACGTGTGGTCGCGCATTATCCTGTTGAAATATGGCTGTGGCCATGCCCTGAAGGTAAGGAAGGACATCTGGTTCCAACACCTCGGAGATGTAGCGCTGGCTGTTTAAAGTACCGGCAATGCGTACTAGAGGAGTGCGAGAGTGATATCCAATACCGCTCCATACCATAATAATCGGCGTAGGACCAGTGTGACGGTGCATAACGCAACTGTTCAGCATCCTTTCTCCACAGTGTCTCCAGACTCGAATCCGACCTTCGTGGTGTTGCAGACAGATGCGTAACTCGTCAGTAAAGACAGCTTCATTCCATTCTGCCGCCCACATCCTTCTTTCATCGCACAATTGGCGGCGGAGACGTCTGTGGTTCTGCGTCAAGGGTAGACCTAGGAATGGACGTCTTGCGGAGAGATTACTCTGCTGTAAACGGCGTCGAATGGTAAGCTCAGACACTGAATGATGCGTTACAGACTCAATGTGCTGTGCTATGGTTCGTGATGTGACTGAGCGATCCATCACTGCCATGCGCACAATTTGCCTGTCCTCGTGTGAAGTGGTGCACTGAGGAGGATGCGATCGACCACATCGGTCCATCGTACACTCCTGCATCCAACGGTCACATATCCGCAGGACAGTTGTTTGGTTTCGTCCAACACGACTACCGATTTCCCTGAAAGATAATCCACAATCTCGGTAGGCCACTATCCTTCCTCTGTCGAACTCGGATACTTGATCATAACTGATCGTTTTTTGAAAAACCACAAGAAAAATACGATTGCCTGACTTGAAATCGTCGAAATCTCCAAGCCTTAAATAGCGCTTTGAGGTGGCGCCACAGGCGTGCGTGATGTGTGTCTGCGCTGAAATTCTAATCATTTGCATATCTCACCTCTGCTAATGCATGCTGTAAATTTCATGTTATTTGCGTGCTTTCTTCAGGGTGTTGCATTTACGGTGGCCAGCAGTGTAATAAGGAACAGTAGCTCGTTTGGCGAATTTTTCACACAACACTTAACGAGAAAAAAAAAACGAGTGGGCTAAAATATAATCCAATTAAAAACGGAGATTTTTAAAACTGATGGAACAGTTTAATGATATATTTTGCTTCAGAAAAATAGGAAATTAAGAACATTCTAATAAGAAAAAATTAATGTTCGAAGGAGAAAAAAAATTGAAATTTTTAAGACATTAAGAACAATTTCCTGTAAAACTTGGCTTCTTAAAAAAGTATTTATCAAATATTAAATTCTAAAATTAATCAAAGGACTTTTGCCGAACCAAGTACCTGTCCTTATAGGATTTCTGGAGGAGGATACTGGTGACAGGATACTACGCACAAACGCCCGCACACATGTATAATTTTCTTATTTGTTCTAGCGAATGTGGAATGTAGGAACTTATCCGATAGAAAAAAGACATCGAAAATCAACCAATAGTACCATAAGTGAGCATCAATTTTACCAAGAAGACATGCCTACTGAATTAAGAAGCGCCCCTGGATCTCGAACTAGATTAAATTGGAAAGATGACCGCAATATATCAACCGAAGAAGTAAGACTACGCTCTTCAAGGTTCTGTCAGACAGATTCAGAAGAAAATGTTCGTAATCCTGAAGATAAACTCTTTGATACTCATACTGAAACTGGAGCAATGGACACAAATCATGGTGCAAAAAAAGTACATAAGGTATAGTATACAAATATTACTTCGAAGCTTATCCTATTAACACCTGTGTAAACAATTAAGAGTAGCTAAGCAAAACGGTTAAACCAATGACTTGTTACAAGCCATAATCGTTTTCATTTTAATTTTTCTGAAGTTCCAGTTGGTCTCGTAATCTTTTTTAAAAATACAGTCATGAAATCACTGTACGAATGCAAATGAGAAGCCTGTTCAAACTGTTTGAAAACATCATTTGTAAGAACTTAATGACATTTTACATACAAAGGCCGTAGAAATTACTGACAAAGGCTATAATAAAACTAGATATTTACTATCGTAATGCCTGACAGTTAACTTTTCTTTTTCATTTTGTATTGAATATTTCATAGTGTCAGGATATTTATTTTTCTCTGTTTTTGCTTAATTTGAATCACTTGGCGTAGTTGAAAAAATTTATATAGTTTCCTTTTAAATAGTTTTTTTTGCCACTCCAAAAGAGTTATCAGTTTTCATAACTCCTTTCTTGATTGATGCTTTTTTACTTTTCATCTTTCAGGTTTTAAAATTATAAGAGGTAAATAGTTTGGTTCCTAAAATTAGACAATACACGAGAGAGAGAGAGAGAGAGAGAAACATTACGCAAGATGTGATAAAATAAGAATTCTTTCAAAATGTTGTCGACAAACCAACATTTGGTGGCTGTTAAGATGTTTATCAGTAACACTATATATCGTCCGGACAAAATTTTTTACATGGAGTTGGTAACATCATAGGACGGTACGTCTCCGGTCCTGTGTCTCATTAAGTATTTAACGTCACCCGCAATGGTCATAAACTTCTCGCATAACCAAAAACTAATTTGTCGGGTTTCACTTTTCAACGGTCTCTGACAGTGTTAATATCCACAGACGTTGCAACAACAGCAATTCCCCATATCGTACACAATTTAGACGAATGAAAGTTTTCGTAGATTGGCAACAGATTCTTACGGATTAGCGCCTTTCCATGAATCACTGACTGAATACCATTGTTATGAATAACCGAAACGAATTAGTTTATTTGTCCGGAAAGTACGAGGGTTGATCAGAAAAAAAGGTTACAAAACGAATAAAGAAATATTTATTAACAATAGACTGAAAATACAAAGGGAATTAAGAGGCATACGTGCCTATCACATTTCGACATAATCACCACGTCTATTTTAGGCATTTATCAGAACGCAGAACCAATTTGTTTAATCCGTCTTTGTAGAGATCAAGTCCCTGTTCATTGAGTCAGGTCTCAGTGGATGTTTTCACAGAACTGTCTTGGAATGTCGCAGCACATCAGAAACGATATGCCGCATGCTACCATAGCTCAGTTTAAGCTCTGATAAGATTTCACTCAGTTACCCGTCGATCATTTTGAATCATTTCTTCAATTTGTGCCGTACTGATTTCTGTCGTTGAAGAACTTGGCCGTCCACTCCCTGCCATATTGTGGTTTTCGGCATCCTGTCGGCCTGATTGAAAATAATGACCCCATTTCGCTACATGTTGTGCGTTCATTGCTTCTTCACCATAAACTTACACGATTTGACTGTGATGTCAGATGCGGACACATTCTTTGCCCAAAAAAAAAACGAATCACGGGTCGCACTGCACTTTCAAACGAGACCAATTTCCTAAGCTCTTGCCATTTCAGTCGTCCAGATCCGTCTGGGAAAGTTCACTACCTACCCGCAAACAAGCTGTATGACAAGTAATGCCATTTGTCTCCACTCTGGGGAATCAAAATTTCTTCACAATATGTGTTTTTCAAATGCTACGGCTTATAACCTTTTTTTCTGATTATCCCTCGTATTAGTAAGAGAAACGTTCCAAAAGTATGTTTCGTCACTTTGTTTCACACAAAAACTTTATTGCCAAAAGAAAATACATCATGGAATCATGAACTATACACCTTGCACTATTTTTTGACTTAATTGACACCGACATTGATACTTCAGTTGTTGCGTGTTATGAAACCACTTTGATCAAACTCTGTGCCCCGCGTTTCAAGGAATTGTCGCTCAGCCTGCTCCACTTCAGCGCTGATTTGAAAAAGGTTTCTCTCTCACTAGTGGACGTAGATACTTCCACGTGATTGAGGTGACCTTGGGTAATGTGATGCATCCACATCTCATGGCCTTTGAGGAATCTGAACAGGAACTCATTTTTTTTCGGTAATCTTTCTTTCCCTTTCTCATTTTTCGGTAGCTCATAGCATCGTGGGTTATGTGATGGACTTGAGCTCGAGTCATGGAAATCGCCACCCGGAAACCATTATGTACGTGTCCACTAACACCATGTCCTGTGCTCTAACAATGTTGTTTTTATTTAGGGATGTGGAGGACCCCCCTTCAATTTTCATTCCGGACATTCTGACTTCCTTCATTCAACATGCAACACCAATTGACGAAACATGACTTCTTCACAAAACATGGTGTGTAAGCGTCCATGGATGACATATACACCACTATCACGTGTTCATTCATACAGGGTAACAGCACGAATTTCCATTGGTGGATACGTTGTCAGCGCACGACTGCCTAACCTCGTGATTTGTACTCAAACAACCTTGGGCACGCCAGTCCGCTGCCACTCGCTATTCTTCGGCGCTCTGCGCACGCGTCATGCCTTCTACGCTGACGTTATTTCCACCTTTTTTTCCAGCAAAGAATGTGGTTTCTAATGCTGATTTTTTTTCCACCAGTCGTACCACCTATTCTCTTAAAAAAAAGTAATATAAAACAAATTCTTTTCGAAAGTTAACCCTTACTTAGGTCAACAAAGAAAATTTTTATTTTAGTTACTTTTTATTAAATAGTCTCAATTAATATAAATATGTATATACATATGACAGAATCACAATATTAAGGGACAAAGTAGAAAGTGATTTTTCTTGCAATTTTCCATTTTCCTTTCTATATATGGTGTTGGACTATTTTTTTTTTGTTACTAGTTATTCATTTGTTAAATAAAGAATAGTATAGTAAAAAAGAAAGCACATTATCAGAAATTAGGTCATCCCAGGTGGGATTTGAACCCATGTCCTTTGAATTAGAATTTCAACACACAATCCATTGCGCTACAGGGACACAACGAACGATTCTCCTTCCTATATATGCTGTTGTACTATTATTTTTGTTTGTTAATATTTATTCATTTTTTAATTTAATTGATGAATTAATATTTGAAAAACTGTATTAACCTCAAGTATCATCCACTACAAGTTTTAAAAAATGCATTTAAACTTGAACAGATGAATAGAAAGTATTTTATTAACGATTGAAAATTTGAACAAGATACACACACACACACACACACACACACACACTATATATATATATATATATATGAATAAATATATATAGGGAGAGAGTGAACTAATAGTAGGAATTGAAAAATGACGAAATTTACTTTCTGAACGTCCCTCATAAATTCCCCGTAATTATCTACGTATAATTATAAAATGCTACCGACTAGTTATCTTTTTTTGGAAGTTTTTGTCATTCTTATATATGTACTACTTTTAAAACTTGTAAACTTTCCTGTTTGACATTTGCTTCAATATATTCCTAAGGAATTTTTGTTTCCGTTCGCATGGCTTTTTCAATTTGGATTTTTAATGAAATTTTGGTACATGTGTACGACTCTTATTTTCGAATCTGTTCTCTTTTTATGTGGACCTTTCATGGAAGTTGGTAAGCTCATTGGTAATAGTAGCATTAGTGTTCATAGCATACGAAGAAACGTAATGTAACATTCTACGACAGTGTTTCTCAAACTTTGAAGCGCGCTCCCTCTAGGGTGGTATAAAAACCCTACAAGAAAAGCGCGAGTATATCGAAAAGTCGAAAACAAAAGATTATTTTAAAAATTTATTAACTTACAGAAAGGAAGCAAAACAAAATAAATTCCGTCATAATAAAAAATAAAACACACATTTATAATGATATAATACATTTATAAATGTAGCAGTACTGCAAAAAGTATTTCATACTTAATTTGAACAAGTTAAGAACAAGTTTAATAATTATCAGTGACCCTATGGGCGTGTCATAAAATTAGATACAAAATTTAATATTTATTTTGATAATTTGTACGGTTTATAATTAAAGTCGTATTGTAGCTTTATGTCAAAGTATATTATTATTGAGTTCAATACGCTGTTATTATATAAGGGGGGGGGGGAGCGCGATGAAAATTGTGATTGAAAATTGGATCGCAAGTACAGAAAGTTTGAAAAGCACTGTGCTACGAATATGCAGTTTTGCTTAGTTCAAAAGTTATGCCCTTTTATTTGTGCATCAAAAAGTTGCCCTTTTATGTTATTTTTAATCAAAACATTGATTAGCAAAATTCGTTTTTTTGAAAATTGATCCCGCATAAAGTAAAGAACAATATTCTACTGGAATATAAAACTTTTTTGAATGATTTATTTTAACTTTCATGCTGTTTCTTTTTTGTTAAGTTTAACAGTCATCAACTACCTGGAATTCAACCTAGCAAGCATGTAATAACGACAACTCCAGTTCTACGTGCTGATTTAACAAAGAGCGTCATAAGTATAACAAAGAGTTCCGAGCAGTCGATTCCGAAAGACATTGTCGAAATAGGGAACTTGCCTTTCAAAAATGATGTAAACTTCGATCTTTCGATGTTCTGCTCTCTGTTGAAAGAACAGTTCAGGGAACTATTATGCAAAGAAAAAACAGATCCAGGTATGTCAGTGTCCTAAGAGAACTTCTTTATTTGTGTGACATGTGAAATTAAAATTCCTTTCTTTCTTCATGACATGGTACAAAAAGTAATTAGTGCTGTACATAACATTAATAATTAACTGCCTACGTTGAAAATGTCGTTTTTCGACTACATAAGGAAAATTTTTTTATTTAAAAATTTTATAGTTTGAACATTTTTCTTTCCGAAACAGTTTTTCTTTTTCCTTAACGCGAAATAGAAATAAAGTTAGAGTGATTTTAAAAAACATCACTCTCTGCAAAAGGGAACCGGAAGTAGCATTTCGAAACCGGAAGTTGCAGAAAATTGCAATTTTTAACTCAAATTACTACAGTTTCTCTCATTTTTTTAATTTATAAAATATATTTCCGTAATTTTTCTAATGTTTAAGCCATTACTTTATTATTAGACTAGTTATTTCTTGCTAAAAATTAGCAACAAACAGTCTGTTTACATTCTTGCTTGGACATCAAAATAATGTCACATTTTTGTAGAATATGTTCTAAGCAGACTAAAGTTCCAGGTGCTGCTTCTAATGCACATGTTTATTGCAATCATAAGGGTTCTGTGCCAAGCAGGGAGACTGTCGGAGCATATCGCATATTTGAACGATCAGAGAATCTTCATAAATTGTAGTACACTGATTACTATGGTGATGGGGATTCCAAAGCATATGAATCCGTAAAAAGTTTGTACGCTCCTAATGCAGTTAATAATTTAGAATGTATTGGTCATGTGCAGAAAAGGGCTGGGAATCATCTCAGAAAGTTAAGAAAGTCAGTGAAAGGATTGGGAGGGAAGAGAAAATTGACGCATAATTTTATCGACAAATTGCAAAATTATTACGGAATAGCACAATTCGCAGTAATACAAAAAATTTAGCAAACATGCAAAGCGCAGTTATTGCTGAATTTTATCACTGATATTCCAGTACTGAAAAGCCTATGCATGGTCAATGCCCAACAGGAACAGATAGTTGGTGCAAATTTCAAAAAGCAAAGGCACTTGGTAAAATATTCACCGCCGAAGCCCCTGGACTCCCACAAAATATTATAAATATTATGAAATCACACTACTTAAAACTATGTGATCAAAAACTTTTAAGAAAAGTGTTTATGGGGAATGACTCAGAATGGCTATGAGAGTTTCAATTGTGTTCTGTGGAATTTAGTTCCTAAGCAAAACTTTGTTGAACTCCAAATTTTGCAATTTGGGGCATATATAGCAGTTCTGCTATTTAATGAAGGTGCTAGTGGCTTATTAAAAGAGATAAATAAGCTGAGGTTAAATGTTGGTAGCTATATGATACGCGCGTATTAAAATTGTATGACTATCAACGGATAAACGAAGCATAAACACGTTCATTACCCTTTACAAAATTAAAAAGGAAAAAAACACGAGCTTACCGAAAGAAAAAAGGGTTGCACCAGGGAGGAGGGAAAGGTGTGACATATTATCCTGTTGAATTTTAGATAATTTTGTAAATTATGTATACCTTTTTACAGTAACATAAAACTTTAAATGCGTTTTTCTCAAAAATATGTTTTCGAAAGAAACTCCTTACGAGATGCATGATATTTTAAGAACAAAAAGAGACAATGCTTTAAAATTTTGTGCGAATGTTTTTTATACTATTTTTCATAAAGTGGACCATAAGTTTTGTTGTAGAATGAATAGTTTTTCACACACATTTGGTATAGTTTTTATAAAGAAAAACCTTACAAAATATCAAAATCTTCAGATTATAATGTATAATTGCCTGTAATTTTTTTGTATTTTAATATTTTTCTTAGATTTTGGTTCATTTTAAGAAACACCATAGTATGTATGTTGTGTATGAAGTATACGAGTGTACAGTGTTTCCCGTTTTAGTATAAATTTGGTAAAATTTCCTTCAAAACAACCAATTTTTCTAAAAGTACAATATTTATTTTAAAATTTTTGTGTATTTACATATTTTTTTCTATTTTTCTTCCTAAAAACACTCAATTTGTTTCAAAAAGTTGTTGTTTTTAAAAAATTGGGTCCGAAGGTAGGCAGTCACCTTATCATTCATCGCCCATATTGTTGCAAATTTGAATGAGTGAAAATCAATCGATGACTCCAATTATTTGAATAATGATAGATTTGTCAACAATACAGCAGAACATACTCGTTATAAACAAACTTTACGACGTTCCAAAATTGATTCTTTAGAACAATTTTCTCTAGAACAGTTCCACAAGCAGACAGAATAAGCATGTCTGTCCTATCGCAGTCAACGCAGAAGCAGATTCTGATCTCGATTGAACTTTCCCCTGACCTTTACCTAACCTTGTGGAAATTTCTAGAAGGGTTGACCCTAGAAACCTCTCGATAATTCATTGACGACATCATATTTTCTGCCAAATTTGCCGCCAATTTGGCCATCTACAGCTGCCTTATTCAAGTTCATACTGGGAAGTGAATTTTGCCTGTAAAACTCAATTTTCCCACAAGGAAAATGTTGTTGCAGGGAAAACAACATACGTGGAGTATTTTAATATATCATTTTATCAAGCCAGACTGTAGACATTATATGTGTCATATACGAGGGTGGTCCCAGAAGTACACAACCCAACAAAGAAAACACAAACATTTCGGAAAAAAATATATTTATTTTTCAACATAATCTCCTTTACTCTCTATACATTTTTCCTCTAGTGATGTTCAAAAAGTTTGATACCCTTTTTTTAATAAGAACTGTCTTGCTCCTCAAAATAACCATTAACTGCCGACATCACTTCTTCATCGTTGGAAAATATTTGACCACTAAGCCATTTTTTCAAGTTTGGGAATAGAAAATAATCCGAGGGGGCTAAATCTGGCTAATAGGGTGCATGAAGTAGAAATTCACTTTTTAATTCATTCATTTTGGCCATTGCAATAACGGATTTGTGAGCAGGTGCATCGTCTTGATGAAACAACCCTTTCCTCTAAGCCAAATGCTGCCGTTTTTGCTTGATTTCTGAGCTCAAGCGTTGCAATTAGTTCGCGCTACACTTGCCGTTGATAGTTTTTCCTTTTTCATGATAGTCAATGAAAATTATCCCTCGTGCATCCCAAAACGACGCCATGACCTCGCATGCAGATGGAATGGTCTTTGACTTCTTTGGAACCGGTTCTCCCTTTTCAGTCCATTGATTTGATTGTTCTTTTGTCTCGGGGGTGAAGTGATGGACCCATGTTTTCATCCATGGTTATGAAATGGCGTAAATATTCTTCTTTGTTTCTGTGAAACTTTGTTAAACACTTAATTGAAATATCTTCAGGGCACTGTTTTTGCTCGAAAGTGTGAGCAAACGAGGCACCCCTCTTGCACACAGCTTTCTCATGT